TGGGCTTGGTGGCCATGTTTGCGGCGGCAAGGGAGAGTTACTAAGCATGAAATGTTTTGGCGCTGGAAGCCGTTCGTTGGTAGGTCCGATGGCTTCCGCTACGCAAGGCTCAGAGGCCAACCCATGGCGGCGGTCAGTGATAATTGAAGCTCGATAATTTTAGTGCTGATGGATTTTGCGATAGCCATATTTCTCGCAGCCTTGCTTACTTAGGACGCTGCTTGAGCTAACCTCAGCTAGGGTTCAGCTTTGCAAGGGTTGCATGCATCATGACGCAGCTTCTGGTGCATTTCCTCCACACACCATTGTAGCATCGTGCTCATTCCGCCTGCTTAGAATGATGGCGGGAGATTACCAATATTTTGAAGGAGGGAGACGAAAATTTCTGCGTGCAAATTGGCGCTGAGGTCAAATCTAACTTGTTCCCGCGAAACCCAACAATATTTGCTTTCTAATGACAAGTAAGGGGCCAAGACAAGTTGCCGACTTCACATCCACTTTATTCAAATTCTGAGCAGCATATTGAGGTTCGAGTCAACACTTGTACGGATGGTCGACGCGTTAAGGATGGATACTTGTGGACTCGTCTAAGAAGAAGATGATAGCTTTCATCGGAACAAACAGCATTCGAGGCTTTCAACCCACACAACATCCAACAATTCCTCGTTAGGTTGTGAACTGTTAAGGTTAGATCGATGGAACCATGATGCTTCAGACTAGTTCAGCAGTGGCGCCCGAGTCAACTTCTATTGACTTGCGGCCCAAGGTGACGGCGGACAAAACCCACTGCCTCCGTACCATGTTTCGGCGGCATCACGTCGAGCCCGAGTCACCGACCCACTTGACGGAGATGTTTGTTTTCTCCGGCCGGCCACATAACGAGACATTTCTCAACGGCAAAGTCTCTATGATATATGCTAATCCAGATCATATAAGAATATGCCGTCTGAACTATCCTCGAATTCAACTTCCCCTTCTGTTTGTTCACACCACATTATACGTATTTAAATGCAGCTATACGTTACGGCATCTGAACTTAAGCAACAACACAGACACACACCAAGTTGCCACTACCGAATTGAGCATGTCGTTCATTGAGAACCCTGCTGTCCCTAAGGGATCAATTGCCGTGATCACTGGCGCTAATGGCTACATTGCGTCTCACATCGCAGACCAGTTCATTCGATATGGATATAAAGTCCGCGGAACGGTCCGTAACCCGAAGAAGAGTGCTTGGCTTGTCCCACACTTTGAGAAGAAGTACGGGGTAGGGAAGTTTGAACTACATGTGGTTCCTGATATGCAGGTTGATGGCGCGTATGATGAGGCTATCAAAGGTAAGTGCTGCTGTGGCCCTCGAGCACGGCGTCAAGCTCCGAGAACCCGCCTTGCTTCATGCATGCACTTTCGAGTGCACCGTTTTTATGTACGATCATCTGACTAAATATCATAGGGGCGTCAATTTTCGTGCACACTGCTACCGTCATCGATTTCAACGGCGACCCAGCCGAAGTGATTGGAGGTGCAGTGAAATGCGGGTTGGTCGCTATCGAGGCAGCATACAAGGAACCAAACATGAAACGGTTCATTCTAACTTCATCAGCCTCAACTCTTATGCCACTCAAGAAGGAAAACTTCTTTGCCCTGAAGGGCCAGACGGTCGATGTGGACACATTTGGTCACGACGCCAAGGAACTGGCTTGGGCACCTCCTCCTTGGGGTGTTGAACACGGCGGAGCGATTTACGGCGCAAGTAAGATGGAGCAAGAGCAAAACATCTGGAAGTTCTACGAAGAGAACAAATCCAATCGGCCAGATATCGTGGTGAACTCGAGTAAGTCGGCGTTCAATACTGTCTGAGGCAACATAGAAGAAGCCTCATTCATGACACAACCGCACATGCTTACTCTCATCCTCTCTGCTAGTTGTTCCAGACTTCAACTTTGGAAGAAGCATCGACCCGTCTCGAACTGGAGGCTCGTCATCGTTCGGCCTCATTGTCGAACTCTTTGAGGGAAAGACTCTTCCTGAGCTTTGGCATCTTCCCCACTTCTTTGTCGACGTCGAGGATGATGCTGCCCTGCACGTTGCGGCGGCTATTCTGCCTGATGTCGAGGGTGAACGCATCTTCGCATTTGCCTACCCAATGAATTGGGACATCATCTTGGATATCCTTCGGAAGCAGAATCCGGGCAGGAAGTTCGCCGATAACTTCCACAATGATGAATATCCTGTGACAGTGAAGCCTATTGCGAGGGCAGAGAGCCTGCTGAAGAGGCTGGGCAGGCCGGGTTGGATCTCTTTGGAGCAAAGCATCGCGACCAACACCGAGCACCTGAAGACTCTGGACATTGCATAGACGGGTTTCAACGAGCTTTACAAGAAATCAGACGATATTCGCAACAATATGGGATGCGATGTGATGCACGATAACCGCTCGACCAGGGTCTTGGGACGTCATCAAGGGGAAGATGCTTACGCGCTTACACCCGTTCGTTCATAAGGACGCGGGCTGGGTGCACCCTGAATTAGCGCAATCCTTCGTGCGCACCTCACTGGCTGTATCGGAAACAGAAACGAGCGAGATGATTTGAGTGAAGATGCCGTTGTGTTTGCCATGTGCGGTGACTGTCCACGCGTTCCTGGCTTATGAACCCCTCATTGAGGATTGGCCAGTTATATGCATGTTTTCTTCGATCCTTCAGCTCGAACCTTGGCTATCCATGTTCATGACGAGTTGAACGAGCCTAGTGTAACATTCCCAATCCAGCGATACGCACCGGCAGGATAACTCAAAGCCAAACTTCGGATGATGGAATGGTGCGCCTCCGAGACAAAAACAACGGTCTATCTACCCCTCACCGACGCCACATCTCTTTTATCATCATCAAGTGCCTCACATATCTTTAGGGTAATAGTTGCCTGTTAGACAGCTGGCGATGGCTTCGACAAATACTTCCGAGTCATTTGGCAGCAACCAAGGACTCTTGCAGTCGCTCCAACAACATGCGACATCATCAATCATCACCTGGCTGTTGCTACCGCTTATTGGTATAGCTTTCCTGCGCCATGTCTTGCGACCAAAGGCAAACGAGCCTCCGAGCTTGCCGGGTCTCATCCCCTATATCTCAAACACATATCAGTACATCACCGACAACAGTAGATTCCTCGAGCGTGCCACCGAAGCACTGAAGAAAAGCAGCGTGGTGAAGTTCAACCTCGGCGCCGACACTGTGTACCTAGTTGCAGGCTCTCACAATGTGCAGAAGCTGTTTCGCAACAGCTCGAACAACACGCTCAGCTCGGATAAGTTCATCGTCATGGTCAATGGGCGGGTGCAAGGGATGACTGACGAGGACGTGGCGGTAATGTACAACGATAGATCTGGTCGTCTGAAGACCCCGGCTGCGGGAACTGAGAGCATGCCTGAGAATCAGAGGTTCTGGGTCGGCTTGCATCACGTCTTCAACGAGCACCTCTTTCGCGCCGAGGCTACCGCGAAGTTGGCGGAGTCGTTCATTACCTTTTTCGGCGAGAAGCTCGACCAGCAGCCCCGTGGTGAGTGGGAAACCTTGCAACTGTTCAAGTATCTTAAAAAGGATATGGCAGAAGCAGCGACGATCTCGCTTGCAGGGCGAAAGCTGATTGAGGACCATCCGGGATTCGTCGATATCTTCTGGGAATTCGACACGATTGCGATGCAGCTCATGTATGGCCTTCCAACTTGGATTAATCCAAAACCAAAACAGATTCAGCGCAAAACCCTAGCCATGATGTCAGACTTTCTGACTGATGCCTGGGCCAAGTTTGACTGGAACGGGCCCGATGCCGACGCGGACTGGGAACCGATCTTTGGCTCGAGACTCCAACGTGAGCACTCAAAATTTTGGGAGAAGAAAGGATTCTCGCTTCAATCGCGTGCTGGGATGTACATTGGAAGTATCACAGGGTATGAAACGCAGTTTCTCTCTGGTTGTGGAAGTAACCTGACTGACGTGAAAACTTCCGTGTAGCATCAACTCGAATTCCGTGCCCCAGACGGCTTGGGCTGTTATGGAAGTGATAAAGGATCGGTCGCTCTTCCAGGCGGTCCGCCAAGAGGTTGATTCGGTGTCCATCATTGATCCCAAGACTGGAAAGCGAACCTTTGATGTGGCAAAACTAGTTACCCTGCCTTTGCTTCAGTCCATTTACGTGGAGACACTACGAATGCACGTGTCCATCAACATCACTCGTGAAGTCATGGAACCAATGGAATTGGATGGGTATCATCTGAGTAAAGGCTCTTTGGTGCAGGCACCGACGCAGATTGGGCATCGTGAAGAGTCAGTGTGGGGTGTCGAGGGGCACCCTGCGTCGGAATTCTGGGCGGAACGTCATATCAAGTTTGTCGAGAAAGAGGATGAGGATGGCAAACTTCAGAGAGTCAAGGAGTTTGCCGTAGCCGGAAGACCGAGCGACTTCTTCCCATATGGTAAGCCGTATACACCCAGTCATCTCCATGGCCCTGGCTAATATACGTGTTGCAGGTGGTGGTGTGTCCATGTGCCCAGGGCGTTTCTTTGCTAAGCAGGAAATCATGCTGGCTGTCGCTATGATTGCGTCTCGGTTTGATATTGAGTTTGAAGATTGGGTCAACTTTGATGGGTCGCATTCGGAAAGGCCTCCTACGAATGACAAGGCGTATGTAGGTGCGGGAGCTGTACCGCCGGACAGAGACATGCGCATGCGCTGGAGGAAACGGTGGTAAGCAGTTTAGGATCCGATTGAATATGGGCATCTATTTCAGTGGATAATTTTGCGAGAACGCGTCGAATAGTGGCATAGATGAGCAAAGCCGTTGCGCACTATTTTGAGTTGGACGACTCAATCGATTGTACGTGCACATTGAGGGGAAGGAAAAGGATTGGAAAAGTGCCATTAAGATCATGATCATTATGAGTTAACTAATGAATACAACAAGGTATAGGTACAGTGCTCGCTTTCATCAAACAAATTCCTTAGTTCATACGGTAGACAGCATCCTTCTTGAAGTATCTGCTGATATCGTTGTCCTCGCCGCACTTAGTGCAGGTGTGAAAGACCTTGGCTCCATCATGTCCTGGGCCGTAATGGTCAGGACCCATTCCTTGGGGTCCCGGGCCGGTGGTGCCAGGGACATGAGAAGAGTGCGTACCTTGGTTCAGACCGGAAGATCCAGTGTGTCCTCCGAGACCAGTGCCAGCAACGTTGCTGTGGGTGGTGCCGTGAGTGCCGGTAGGAGACTGGTTGTAGGGATCGAGCATGCTAGTCTTGGGAACGCCGGGCTCGTTGCCGGTAAGGCTGGAGCGGTGCTGGTCATGGACGCCACCAGCGTGGGTGCCAGTGACACTCCCATGGGTTCCGGTGACGCCGCCGTGGGTACCGTGGGTGTTGTGCCCAACAGGAGAGTTAACGCCGCCAACAGTGTTATTGCCTCCGAGACCAGACTCATGCAAATCATCGCGGTGATGTCTGTGAGCAGCCTGGCCAGCAGCCACGGCGGCTCCAGCACCAACGCCAGCACCGATACCAGCACCAGCAGCTCCATGTCCGGTGCGCTCACGGCCCATGTCTCTGTCTCTCATGCGAGTGTCGTACGGGTCATTGACGTTGCCGCCGGACAAAGCCGCCTGGGGGTTGTGAGCAGCGCTGTGGACGCCGCTGTAGGGGTCACTGCCGGCACCGCCAACTCCAGCACCGGAGCCGTGGGGGTGAGTAAAGTCGCGACCCTCCATAGAACGGTCGACGCTGGACGCAGGGTCGTGGTGTGTTGACGCCGCGGGGTTGTAGTGTCCTCCACCGACGGCCTGAGGACCTCCATGGCCGACGGCAGATTCATTGGGGCGCAGGGGCAAGTCCTTGTTGAGAGCAGAGCCATCACGGCCGACGTCGCCCCAGTAGGGGTCCTGGGCGTTGGCGCGCTCAGCGTTGGCGAGGTACTCGCCCTTGTAGGGCTTGTTGTGGCCAACACCGTGGCCGACCTCGACACCGGAGTCATGGGGACGGTGGGTGCCAGTGACATCTGCGCCTGGCGCGCCGCGGTGGTCGCGGTCCGAATCAACTCTGGGATCCAGCTTGTTGGCGGCTCTGCCGGAGTGAGGACCGTGAACGCCATCGGGGTCGTTGTAGCCGGTGGTGGTGTTGCCACCGACACCTCCGACACCTCCGGTGGTACCGTGGGGGTTGCTGTGTAGACCTCCGGCGTGGCCGGTGCCGGTGGTGTTGTCGTAGGTGTTGTTGCCAGTCAGACCAGCAGTAGGAGCACCACGGTGGTCGCGATCGGAGTCGACTCTGGGGTCGAGCTTGTTGGCAGCTCTTCCTCCATGCGGGCCGTGGACGCCATCGGGGTCATCGTAGCCCGTGGTGGTGTTGCTGTATCCTGCGGTGTTGCTGCCGGTCAAGCCTCCAGTATGGCCGGTGGTTGTGCCGTGGGTGGTGCCGTGGGTGTTGCCGGTCAAGCCGGAGGTGGGCGCGTCGCGGTGGTCCCGGTCAGAATCCACTCTCGGATCGGCCTTGTTGGCTACTCTTCCGGCATGGGGGCCGTGAACTCCATCGGGATCATTGTAGCCAGTAGTGGTGTTGCTGGTGTGATGCGTGCCGGTACCGGTGGTACTAGGGATATGGCTTCCGGTAGTGCCGGTGGTGCCTCCGGTGTAGCCACCGGTTGTGGGCTTGGAGGTTCCGGTTGTGGTAGAGTCGGAGGGGAATGCTCCGGGTGGCTGGTCGCCCTCGTATGTGGTCTTTTGAGGGTGGTCGTCGCTGTGGAGGGCGTTCTTGATCTTAGCTCCCAAACCCATGATTCCTGATTGACTTATTGATGTTGTAGAGGTAGCAAAGAGTTATTGTAATAACAAAGTATAAGGTTCAAGGCTCGGTTTTCGGGGTATCAAAGTAGCTTGTGTTTTGTTGTTGGTATCAAATTGTATTGTGGAGGGTTCTTCTGAGTCGATTAAGCCGAGGGACAGAGAGCATCAAATACTGCTTCTCGACGCACGATGTTCATCCATTCTCGTCCAATAACCAGCGTGATGTCACCTTCGTCAACTTCTCTAGCCCAGAGGTCCAGACCGTCTTGCCGCCGTCTTCGCAGCATCAGCAGGCCATGTCTCAGCTCCGAATTTTGTTGCTATGAGCTCATGTGGAGTTCCACTGGCAAAAGACTCAGCTTCCGAGCGCAAAACTTCGGTTCGAGAAGCACCTTCATGACGGCGAGGGAGGGATTCATGACGTGAACTGCGGGGATGTGTGATCGAGCTTCCATCCGCTCCCGCAGTAGTGGAAGCTTGTCTCCGGTCTTGGCCGCGCTCCGGCACACGGATCCGAGGAGGTTCGCCCTTGAAAACAGGGAAACGGCCTCTCCACTCACGATGTGGGATGTCCCTCCATTGGCAGTCGTCATTTAGGAGGGGGCGCCACAAGGATACCCGCCATACGGTTACGTTACCCCAGGAAATTCAGGTTTAGCTAGTGCCACAGTGGCTGTCATATGTGGCGTTGTCTGATGGATGGGGATCTGCTGGGTGCAGTATTCAGTCTTGACGGTTCTGACGACTTGAGACCCAGTCAATGGCACCGGCTGACGCGGCGAGAGTCTCTCATTTGTCAAAGTCCTTGACAAAAATCCTGGAAATTGCACGGCCAACAATGGCAGCCTGTGAAGTTAGTGTCACTCAAGCAGAGAGGGGTTTGAGACGAGAATAGCCGATGACAGTTGTGTGGAGGTAAAGCCCAATTATGACGCGGTTGTGCAACCAACATGAAGATTAACGCAAACAAGCTCATTCTTCGTCCTTGAGAGCTGAATCTTACGCAAGATTGCGCGGAACCAGGAATATGAGGCGTTCAACACCGTCTGCTACGTGGATTCGAGACAATCGCCAGGCAAAGTCCCTGTCGTTGCCATGCTTCAATTGCCTGCCGCCTGTCTCTTCATTCTCTGGGTGCCTGGCCTTTGCGATCGCTTCTTCTGGCTGTGCCTTGTAAGCGCTAAGCCGTTAATCCATGTACCCTGCCCTGTTGAATGGGTTCATTTGCTCAGTCGCTGTTCCTGATCAGCGGCACCACCCCAATCTTCTTTTCTCCGACCAAACTCAATTCTACGACATGCGGCAGCCTTCCTCACTTGCATTAACTTCTTATCAAGCAGTACAGCATACGAAACAATGTAACTTGGGGGCCCTCTGAGGCCAAAATCTGATGAGCGCTGGTCCGTCGATGGCATGCCTTCATGTTCAGACTTGGCAAGGGTTGTGCGTAGCTTGCGCCCGAGACAGCAGCCTTTGAGGGATTCTCGCGTCTCTTTACCCCGCCTGAAATCCTACGCTAAATTCTTTCGTCAGCTTTCTAAATCATGGAGGCTGTCCCTGATGGAGGCGTTCGGTCGCGGGGGAATGCCCATCTCTTTATAATCGTGTTATATCGGGTAGAATGTGCCGTGCGAAATGACTAGTCTCGCGCAAGTTTCTCTGGGATTTCTCTCGGCTTTCGAGTGACATACCAAGCATCCTACTGAGAGCTAGCTCAATCGTTTAGTCCACCGCGTTCTCTGTGCCGATACCGTTGCCAACATGCTGAACCGCCGTGGGCCAATCTCAAAAATCGTCGGCAGCGCTGTCGATGCTGCAAAGAAATTCCAGGGAGATCAGAAACAACCGTCAGCAACGCAAAAAACCAACAATGTGCCCATACAGCCAGTCCAAGCAGGGCAATCAGTCGCATCTGGCCACACAACAGTAGCGCAACATCAAGCGACGGGGGATGATTCCGACGTTGACGAAGATTGGACCCGAGCACTGGATGAAGCCCAGCTAGCTCAGTCGCAGTCCTCCGGCAATCAGCATGGGGTACCAGTTGAAGACATCGAGGGAATGCTGACCGAATTCATCGTTCACCACCCGCCACCAGAGACCTCTAACCTCGGAAGCGAGAAGCATGGTCTGTCAATGCCAGTCATACTCCCGCAACGTCGCCCCGAGTCTCGACACCGCGGTTTCGTGCGAGCTTACGCCCCGGTCCTACAAGAATGCGGCATAGATCAAGCCGCCTGGCTGGAGTTCCTCGACGGTTTCGAGAACAGTATCAAAGGAAGCCCGTGGTTCGGGGTCGTGAACGCTGGCGTCATGGGTGCAGATCTCGCTCACACAATCGTTGGCGGGTTCGCGCCCATCACAATGCTGGTAACGCTCTCAGTGCAAACGGGGCTTGAGGCGTCGCGCAGGGGCTACGTGAACTACAAACAAAACAACTACCTCGAAGTCATGAACGAAAACTTTTTCAAACCTCGAGGCTTGTATGCCCTTGTTGTAAAGTACAAGCCGTCTAGCAGCGAAGTCGTGGAGAACATCGATCTGGATCACAATATCACCCAGGCCGTGGAAGGCAGCGAGAAACAGAGCAAGTGGAAGAAGCTACTGCACTCGGGTTCGAGTACAACAAAGAGCGAGGCCGAGATCCCCGAGCCAGCGCCGCTCGTCTTTCCTCAACTCGACAAGATGGATGAAGGGCAAAAGCAAAACATGGTGAAGAAGTTCGGAGACTCCATCTCGAAGTACTACGATCGAAAGGCGACAGACAGATTCAGGAAAGAACATCCTGATTCAAAGCTCATGCAAGAGGATTCATCTGAAGAAGAAGGTCTAGAAGCTTCGAGTTCGACGGATGGACACAAGGGCCCCATTCGACGTCTGAAGCAGAGACGCCAGGAACGCTTCGAGGCGTCAGGCAGAGAGCGAAAATTTGGAAAGGAAGCTCGCGAGAAGCGGAAGAGAAACCGGCCGCTGAAGAAGTTGATGCGGCAAGATGCTCTGTACCTGATGGTCGTCAACCTCCCAACTTCGGATGAGATGGATGCGGTCCTTGCTCAAGTCGAAGGACAGTGAGTGAGCTCTTAAATGACAAAGGTTGTATCTAGATAGACTTCTTAATTTCCTGCGAGGAACAGGGTGTTAATGTCTCCGTCTTTCATAGATCTGAATTTCATACTAAATAGCCAATTACGCCTACATCGATTTCGTATCAACATTGTGCACCCCCTTTCCAGTGACTGAAATCTCTTGTGAGGCCGAATCTTCCATGCTCGCCTCTAGAATCCTAGGTCCTTCGAACTTTGCAGCAATTTCTTCCAGCTTGAGTCCTTTGGTCTCCACAAAGGTAAAGTATGCTATTACAAGAAAGATTACATTCCAGGAAGCGTTGATGAAGTAGAATTTCCAACCCAAATCTGCCATAGCGTATGCCATAGTAAATGAAGCCAGCAGACTACCCTATGTTAGCAGAGAGTTTTGAAATAAATGGTGTGGTAAACTTGCCCGAATCCAGAGTCCAGCATACGGAAGATTGCGATCCCCGTAGCTCGAAGCTTGTACTGCGAAACCTCCGTGGGATATAGACTGGTCATTGGTGTGATGGAAAAGGCGTAGAACCCTTGGAATAGGAAGATGACTGCAATCGTGCCGTAGATTCCAGATTGATTGGTTGATTCACCATATGCTACAGAGATATTAACCATTGACCCTCGCTCAGGTCACGTTCACGACAGCTATGCCGGGCGCAGGCGTGGATCAGAACTCACTCTTAATGAGGCCTCCCGTAATGTAGAGCATGGCAATCATACCGCCCACACCAACGAAGGTTTGCTTCCTTCTGCCTAAAATGTCGAGCATGAAGCTGCCAAAGACCGCAACAGCAAATGACCAACAGTTCAGGATGACTTGAATCTGTGCTTGCTTCACTGTGTCCCTAATACCAGCCTGACTCAAGATCTTGGTCAGGTAAGACCTAGCCCCGGGTAAGCGAAAGTAGAAGTCAAGGTATCTGAAGGATGGCACTTACGAGATGATGAAGTTACCAAACATGTTGATCATGGGGCCAAATGTGCAAAGAATGGCGAGGCGTTTTCGATTGGCGGGCGTGGATACGATCTCTCTCCATGGGCTTCGAGGATACTCCTCTTCCTCCTTCTTCATAATGCTTCTGATCTCATGCAAACTCGCCCGTCCTTGCTGAATATCCTCGACGCCCTTACCTTGCATGATCACGAGAACCTCAAGAGCCTCATCATCATGGCCTTTCGCAATCAGCCAGCGTGGGGACTCCGGAACGAATGGCACCAGTATCACTGCCAACAAGCTTGGCACGAACTGAAGAAGAGAGGGAAGACGCCAAGACCAAGTGCTCTGGATGTTTTGGCTGCCGTAGTTGACAATGGCTGAGGCCAAGCTTCCCACATAGAAACAAGAAAAGAACAGACCGAGAATTCGGCCGCGCTTGCGAGCTGGCAGAAGTTCTCCGAGCAGAGTGGGAGCAGCGCCGTTGCTGATTGCAGAGCCGATGCCAACGATGATTCGAGCGATGATGAACATGGCAATGTTTTGCGCGGCGGCTTGGAGAATAATGCCGATTACTGTGATGACCGATGCGACGAGGATAGCTCTTCGACGTCCAAAGTAATCTGGCACCGGCTGCATCAAAAAGGCGCCCAGAATGCCTCCCATCCATGATGCAGCGTTGTTGAGACCTTCCAATGCAGGGGTCAAGTGGAAGTATTCGGTGTACGAGGGGAGGATAAGGAGACCGTTCATGACTGAGGCATCGTATCCTAGAGTCTTTCATCTCCTGGTTGGTAAAATGCTTCAGTTTTTGGGGAACTGTACCTACTGCCGAGTTTACAATGGCTACAGCCAGAAGCAAAGGAGACAACACCTTCAAGTTGGCCGGTACCAACCTGGAGACATGTTTACGCTCAAAACCCATGTTGCTAATGAGTGTCTTTGGAAATTAATTGCCTGACTTCTCTTCATTATCATTCTATATTGTCGCATGGCTTCTTGATCGCCCTTATATCCCATTAATTGTGAGTCGTGGTGATTTGTGATCTGCTCAAGTTGATTGGCTGTCTCGAGGGCTCGGGTGAGTTCGGGCGAGCCTATCGTGGCCCACTTGGTAACTACCGGCTGGCACAGAGTTACTATTCCAGATTGTCATCGCGGGGAAATGTCACCTTTCATACGAGCTTATTCACTCGGGCGAGCTCGGGCGGGTCTTGACAGACTGAATATCGGCTAGGCCGCCAGCGCGACTTGACATGGGCCGTCTTGGGGCATGGAAGATCGCATCGAAAATGTGGGATGACGGGCGGTGAATGATAAGCTACTTAAGATGGCATTTCTCATGCTTTTTGCCGCTAACATATTCAAAACCCAGCTCATCAGAAATCTGACGCAGCACAAGATTCCTTTCAAAGATGCCCGGAAGCGTCCGAGAGTGGCCCGCGTGGCCGGAATACACCGACAAGGATCCCCTTGAACCAAAAGATCCCGACTTTCTTGACACTAAGAAGGCAATCATATCCCAGTATGGCGCCGAGGCGTTGAGAGAAAGCTGGGTTCGAGTCTGTGAACAGCTCAAGTCGGTCACGGATGAGATAGTCGACAAGGGTCGAAGCATCATTCCAGTCTTCGACGCCCAAATGCTGCTCGACAAGGGTCTTACAGAAGCCGAAAGGGACGAGGTGAAGAGAGTCGGCACATTTGTCATTCGTGGGGTCGTTCCCAAGACCGAAATAGTTCAACACTACGCAGATCTTAAAAACTACGTCGCCGAAAATAAGCAGAAGATCCAGGGATGGCCAAAAGAGACTCCCTCGATGCTGATGCTGTACGATTCACCCACTCAGAACGCTATAAGATCGCACCCAAACCACCTTCAACTTCAACGCCTCCTCAACCAGCTTTGGCACGATGAAAATGGTGAAGATACTTCGCCAGACCCTTTAGTGTACTATGATGGAGTACGAGATAGACCTCCGCGACAAGAATTCCTCGGACTCGGGCCGCACATTGACGCCGGGAGCCTAGCTCGATGGGCAGATGCCGCATACAGAGAGGTGTACGGCAGCATCTTTTCCGGAAAACCTGAGCTACACGATCCATACGACCTCAGCCTACGAAAAGTCGCGAACCAAGAGTTGTATCCAGGCGTTGCTCATTCATCGGTCCTCCGCTCATTTCAGGGGTGGACTGCCTTGACACGGACTGCCCCAAGCGAGGGAACACTGCTCGTCTACCCCAACGTGGCTACTGTCATTGCATACATGGTGCTGAGACCGTTTTTCAGGCCTCCTGTCGACTCTGCGGATATGATGGATGCGACCAAGTGGACTCTCGATGACTCCGGCTTTTTCCCTGGAACGTTCAAGACCCAGAGCCAGCGGCTTAGTCGCTCATCGCATCCACATCTGAGACTATCAGAGTGCCTAATTCATGTACCGAAGATGGAGCCGGGCGACACTGTCTGGTGGCATGCTGATGTAAGTTTTGATGTGTTTTAGATTCAGCAGCCGCTAATCGTGTTTATGTAGGTCTGCCATGCAGTTGATCCGGTGCACGAGGGATCACAGAACGCATCTGTCTTATACATTGCCGCATGCCCCACGACTACAAACAACAAGACATATGTGAAGAAGCAATTGTCCGAGACTCTTGCTGGGAGGCCACCGCCAGACCAGCAAGAAGGAAATGACTTGGATGAAAGGACACTCAGGGGATACGTGGGACTGCAGGATCTGAGTGCTGAGGCAAAGCGTGCGTTTGGTTTTGGGTTGTGAAGTCCATGGGGCCAACCTGAAGACAAGACAAGAAAAATACTACTTGTTTCTATGATTCTCACTGTAACTCCATGTTAGCCTCATGCAGTGAAGACCTGAGGATGGCAACTGCCGTCTCTGCTATGGCGTTGCGTGATTTGACCTCGTCCAGGTATTCAATGGCGAGTTGCACCTCGTCCGTAAAGTCAACTTCAGCCCCGGCTTTTGCTCTATGGGATTCTCTGAGAAGAAAGATGGCAGCAACGAAGATGTGCATCGACAAAGCCCTTCAAAGAGAGTTAGAGCCTCTCCGGGCATTACGATATTCGGAGACTTACCATTGTCGTCGCATTGCGACTGGCTGATCCCAATTATGGGTAATCCAGATGATATCCATAGCAGAACGAATACACACTGCCCGTGCCCAATCATACAGACCGGGAGCTGCTAGCCACTCCTTTTGTAATGAACGATTGATGCGCATACGATGGTGCAGAAGCACGAGACTGATGTCGAAACGTTGCCATTTGATCCAGGGGTGGGTCAGCTCTAGCTCCTGCATTTCTTCGGTTTTGCCACTATCGGGTTGGAGATGGTTGGGCAAGGTGTTGATGACCTCTGCTAGTTCATCATCAGCTAGGCGAACGACTTCAGCCACTGATCGCGTGCCCTCCCGCAGTGCTGATCTAAATCTATGATAGACAGTCGAGGTTCGTGCCATGAATATGTGATACAGCACTGGGTGGGGACCTTCGTGATCAGATTCTGCCGAAGGCAGTGGAACATTGAAGTCTCCTTCGTCTACTTGAGGCACATAGTAAGGGACCGCAAGCCTATGTCGAGAATGAGCACTGCCTCTCTCATCTCACTTCTGAACGAAGACCTACCATTCACAAATGATCAAGGTCCACCATAGACGCCTTTGAGCTTCGAGGCCCAGCTCCGTAGGGGGATGTGGAGCTTGAATGCTGTCCAGCCCGAGATTCCGTGCGATTCGTATTGCGCAGCTCCAGAGATGACGGTATAGATCAGAATCTCCGAAATTGTGGAAGCACATGCCAAGTACTGCAATCGCCTGAACAGGGCGAATTGTGCTACTTCTCATATAATCTGCTTCTTCGAGACAGAACAAGGCAGTCCTGTACCACTGTTGTAGCATACTTCCAATGTCTCCTGAGTGCCGACGGACACAGTCAGACATGGGCGCATAAAGTTGAGAAGGCGGGCATGGCTTCACCTGCAGGAAGTATCTCCCGAGCTTCCTTGTCATCCATCATCAATAGGGCAGCCTACTAGAGGTAGTCAGATCAGTGCTGTGACCTCGGAAAGATTGGTTCACGTAGGGACTGACCGTGATGACACTGAAATACACTGATAACCAACCAGGATCGCAATCAGACAAGACAGTGCCCTTTTCTAAATTATCCATAAACTGAGTATGTTCTTGATCGAACTCGGGATATTCAAGGGCATAGTGGACCCAGGAATTCCACTTCTTGTCATAAGCGATTAGCAGCTCGCTAGACTTTCGGCAGGGTACGTCAACCGTACTCCATCCTCGGCGATGTCGAGACACCTGTGAAGATGATGGAGACTTGAAAACCATTTCCTCCAGCGGGTCATGGCACTCCAACAAGTTTTGCGCAGTCCTCGGCTTTCGAAACGACGAATCAGAAGCGGAGCGGACCTGAGAGGCTTCAAGAGCTGTTCTTAGTCGCCGATTTTCCTGAACCAGCTCATCATATGTCGGCAACTTGACTGGATCTTTCCCTCTATGATTCAAACACCAGTCAGCTTATTAGAGAGAATATGCCCCAGATTGAGAAGCGACCTTGTAACTTCACCCCGCACCATCACGAGCTCTCGTGAGCATGTTTCAGGCGTACCCTGGCGAATGCAAGTTGAGCACGGTAATCTTTTATCGCACTTGACCTTACGAGCAGCGCAGGATCGACAACTTCGTGGGGCGCGCTGTGTCTTGCGATATGAAGACGGAGTATCAGACGACATATCTGGATTTCTTGATAGAGATCACTCCACATTTGGACGCGTCGAGCAGCGGTCTGGGCCGAGGCCACGTTAGTGGCGACAGAGACGTTCTCTCCAGCCACGAGCCTGGAATGGAAATCGAACAACAGGAACTCAAGGGTAATGTTGATGTTGTTTACTTTCCGGGCTCGTCATGTACGTCAAGAAATGAGACAAAGATACGAGACGAGATGTTGAAAGGCGTAAACTCACCCGAACTCAGCCGAGAATTCCTTATCAGCGATGCGATAAGATAAGTCCGTTCTTATCTCGGAAGGAACAACGGTACGTACTATGAGTGCACCGAATCCCCTCACATTGCTGGCCCTCGAATTTCATCAGATTCGATACCATCACCACATCACTCTCAATAAGATATTGCCTAGAATAGGCTCTTGAGCCGACAGACTCTACAGAATCTGCCAAGCGCTCTATTTCAAGGACCTCAAACACATAAGAGAAACACATCTTCAGCATGGCGTCAGCATTCCATGGAGCCGTCATCCACTCGCTTGGCCCAAAACAAATTGAGATACTTGACAGCGCCGGAATCATTGTTGGATCTGATGGACTAATTTCTGAGTTCTACACCCAAATATCCATCGAAGAGCTGTCCGCAAAGCTGCTCGGCGATCAAAAAGTCAAGGTTCTTGCCAAAGGCCAATTCATATCCCCTGGTTTCATCGACACGCACAACCACGCTCCGCAATGGGCAATGAGAGGCCAGGGGCAGGGCCTTCATATCCTGGACTGGCTTGATCAAGTCACATTTCCCCACGAAGCTCGCTTCTCCGACCCTACATACGCCCGCAAGGTCTACGAGAGCTGCGTTAAGGGCTTCCTCAAGCAAGGCATCACGACCGCTTCCTACTACGGGTCAAAACACGCCGAGGCAACAAAGATTTTGGCCGACATCTGCCATCAGCTGAACCAGCGGGCCTTCGTAGGAAAGTGTAACATGGATCGTAACGCTCCAAGCTACCTCCATGATGAATCAGCTGAATCGTCTCTGAAGGAAACGGAGGAATGCGTCAAACACATTCGACAGATTGACCCGACCGGACAGCTGATTCGCCCTGTCTTGACTCCCAGATTCGCTATTTGTTGCACCCCCGACTTGCTCGAAGGTCTGGGTCAGATGGCATCCCAAGACCCAGAGCTAGCGATTCAAACGCATTTCAATGAAGCCGAGCAGGAGATCAAGGCGACAAGAGAGCTGTTCCCACAGTTTTCCAGCGAGGCAGACCTCTACCAACACTATGGTCTCCTGAACCAGCGTTCAATTCTTGCACATTGCACCTTCATGACAGACTACGAGATGGACAGGGTCAAGGAGCTTCAGTGCGGTGTTGCACACTGCCCCATTTCGAACATGACAGTTGGAGGAGGCTTCATGGCGGCCTCCATACGTCAGTTTCTGACCAAGGGGATCAAGGTTGGCCTTGGAACCGACAGTGGTGGCGGATTTTCGTCAAGCATGCTCGACAGCGTCCGTCAGGCAATCATAGCTTCCAACGCACGCGAGGTCATGTCAGGCGGCAAAGACAAGGCGCTGTCTCTAGACGAGGTTTTCTACCTTTCGACTCTCGGTGGAGCTCAGGTGTGTTGTCTCGAAGACAAGGTTGGAAACTTCGCCATCGGCAAAGCGTTTGACGCGATACTGGTTACAAGCTCCCTTGATGAAGCATTTGGGGTCATGACAGTCCGAGAAGAGACAGACAGCCTTCGGACAGTGTTTGAGAAGTTTTTGATGACTGGAGATGATCGTAATATTGCTCAAGTGTACGTGCAGGGCAGGCTTGTGAAGGACACATTATAGACCTAAGTTGGGTTTTCAAAGAGAGTTTATGACTAGAGTCGAGTATTCGGAGAGTTATACCAACAACAAAAATGTTCTAGCCACGAATTATGATCTCTCTTGACTTGAATTCGCGTGCAGCCATCTAGAATTTTACTTGAGCCGTCTTGAGAGAAAATTGGAGACCGTCTCACGGAAGGCTTCCGGCTCATCGGTTGGCGGACTGTGACCGGACTTCTCAAAGATCGCGAGCTCGCTATTTGGGATACCTCTACTGATTTCTTCTCCATATTCAACAGGTACCACAACGTCATGCCTCCCGGTCGCAACGAGTGTTGGTGCAGTGATATCCTTCAGTTGTGACCGCACATCAAGCCGCGGAAGGTTGTAAGAGAAGGCAAAATTGTGCGTCTCGTAGTGCAGGTGCTCGTGTGCATCGTTTCCCTCAAAGGTTGTGTCTCTCGAGCCAACACTCGCGGAATCGTCTTTTGGCTTGTAGATTTCAACAATCTCTGCAAAGGCAGCAGCAAAGTCTTCGTTGTCTCGAATGTTGCCGCTGTTGAGTCGGACCTGCCTATCTGGGTCTGGTGTGATTCGGTCGCTGATGAGGATAGTCTTAATGAAGTTGAAGGCTCCACGAAGGCCGCATGCCCATGTGTCTCTCAGGATGAGAGCCAGGAGACGATCAGGATGTGAAAGAGCATACTGCAAGGCCACAAAGCCTCCGTAGGAACCTCCGGCTAGAACAAATTTATCTGCACCCGCCCAGGATCTGAACTAATATGTTAGTCGAGCCGCCATCAACGCGATAAGCAACAGTTCAGTCCTTACCTCAACTCGTCTATATCAGCCACCCAACGTTCATCAGTGTAAGGCGGCCTCAGTTCGCTTTTGCCGCTGCCTCTCGCATCATACACCAAAACTCGAAAATCGGAGGCTAAAAAGCCGAACGATGAAATCGGTTCTCTATGGTCGGATAAACCAGGCGCGCCATGCAAGACTATGATGAGAGGTTTGTTTTCGTCGCTGTCGCCGAGGAGTTTGACCTGGACTTTAGCCCCGTCACTAAGTTGAACTACGGAGAGGCTCGCCATGTTCTTACCGACGAAACTTCTTTGAGTGCTAAAGACGGTCTCTTGAAGCATGTGAGAGACCGGAGTTCTGCTTGGCCTTTTGTACACCGTGAGGGGATCATTCTGCTTATAAATCAGGTCTCGATTATGTGCATTATGTATCGAGTCACATCGCGTCATCTAACAACATTATGACACAGGAGTCAATAGTCATGCTTTTGACAGCCGAAGGATCGAGACTTGAACGGAAGTGGCAAGCTGTCAGATTCTTGTTTCAAGAACGAGCCAAAATCTGGGACTTTTGTCGCGGCCCATAGTTACCACGCTGGGTTGGAGAGAATAGAGGTCATCAAGTTGCATGATTCTACCCCGAACCAGTAAGTCTATTATTTGACACCGTGTTCATCGTTTTCGACATCTGGAATATTGATAATCACCCGATAAAACAATCGTTCATCTCCATCCAGCTTGATGACTCAGCACACAAATCAAAGCACTGAACGCTCTCTTTATAAGATAGACTGAGATTAAACCGAGACAATCAAACTGTCAAAATCACAGAGGGAGGCACCGTTGTTACAGAGGCCGGTTTAGAGGGTTGTTGAAGATGGTTAATCTTGAAATCAAGTCACTCGACGGGAACCTTGCTCTTGGTCACAAAACCAGCATCTTGAGTCACGCCTGCATTCTATCTAACATCACGGTCTCTCGGCTCGAAGGAAGGCACTCAATCCCACCACTGCTAACAAAAGTCTTGCCTTGTTTGGGTTTGGACGACTGAGACCTGACTGACCACTCGGAGCCCGCGCGAAGCTTTGCTTTCAGCATTACTTGATTAATAATTTGGAGGAGTTATATCAAATAATGAGACCCAAGCCAAGCTTAGGGCTCTTCGATAGCAAGCAACACGGATCACTTTCTGGTCATCCATCGAAATAAGCTCAGCCCTCCAGTTCTCCAGGGGCTAAAACAAGGGGAGACTGTCGCTGGAAGCAGAAATTCTAGCCTGGTATGGGGTGAGAAAGAAAGGGGCCAGCCAGATTGGGACATCAACCTTGGAACGAAGGTAGGACCCTTGCCTTCGAGTCTCGGTCAGACCGACGACAGGCCATAACATGCCATCTTTGAGAAAAGTATATGACGATGCTTATGCTCCAAGAACGAGTCTTTCACAGGTTCGAAGGGCTAGTGCAGCGACAAACGTCATGGGAGTAGCTTTCAGCAGAGATGAAACTTTACTGCGTGAATAGAGATCGCGCGAAGCCATGAGGGAACAATTTTCAGTGAAACACTGACTTCGGG